TTTTGGGTTAGTTTTATTCGAACAAAGTATTAGAGAATTCAAATGATTTTGAATAAATCTCATGATGTAGTAGCTGGAAATCAGTTAAATCATAATTTTTCATTTTTCATAAAGTAATAAATAAATTACATATCTATGGTACATTATTTAACAAGTGCATTTTTATATTCCAAAAATTTTCGTCACTAAATGCATAATTTGTTCTCAAGAAAACTTATCAAATACTAGGAATTTAGCAATGTTAAATTCATGAAACGATTGTAACGAAGTTTAAATAAATCATTAATATAAGCTAAAATTATATTAGTGATTTTACGGGATAACTTCAAAACAAAGTATAAAATATTTTTAAAGATAATTAAATTTTATTTTTTTTTTTTATCTCTTTAAAAATGTAATAAATACTTTTCAAAGTTGAATCATTTTATCAAGTAGATGATTAAATTTTATTATAAAAGAAAATGTTTAAAGATCCACACGTGATTCAAATCTTACACTTGAATATTTTTTTAATTTTTATGGTGATACTTTTACCAAAATAAAATTGCGTAACGCGATACCATTAAAGAGCACATTTTCCTAATTCTTTAACATTTTGCAAAATTCGAAAATTACTTTATATTCCTTTATAATCATTTTATTGAAAATATTAAAATAAATCTTTTATTGAAAAATTTATGATGGCTTAATATAATATCACCCAGTTGTATTGTATTAAGAAAATTTTTTACTAAAGAATTTTAATTATTGGGGTATATAATTAACACAGCCACGAAAAAACTAGCATTACATACCAATAACTTGGTCAATTCGGCGGCCTTGGTAAAATAATCGGCAGCTACTTTTAAATTCTTTTTAACTCTGTACCATTATATAAACAAGAACTATAACGTAATTGAGCTTCAGGATCACCTGAATCTGCTACTTCTTTATATAACTCTGCCATTAATTTGTCTTTGTTGTATGGTTCCTATCAAGTTTAACAAAATTTTTGTTTAATGTAATATGCTTTATAGTATTTTGCTTTTCATATCATTTAATCTTGCATCTTCTTCAAAACATTTATAAGCTAACTCGCGGTTGCCATTATTAAATTTATGTTTTTTCGCCGATTCATCATCTACTGACATTAATCTAAATTCTGAGAGATTTTTATCATTTACAAGATTTTCATTATGTATTGGCATGATTTTAGGACTAGGCGATGGTATATTTCTTTTAAAAAGATCTTGTAAAATCTTTGAAAGTTGAGGCTTAAAATTATGATCATGTACAACAGCTAGATTTTTAATAGTAAATTTACAGAAGTTAGAGATTTTAAATATAAAAAAGCCAAATTGAAAAAATATATAGTATATTAATACTTTTATTGCAAGCTCTTTATATTCTTTTGGCAAAGGAGAACCAAGAGAAAATGATTCACAATATTATTATTACAAACAAGATTAGTAATCTTAAGAGTATTTTCAAATTTTCATAGGGAGTCTTTTCTTTGGCAATTTCCTAAAGTAGTATACCAAAACTATAAACTTCACATTTGGTGTTATATTTTGACCCTTTTTCTGATGCAGCTTCTAATGTAGCAGCTTGAAAACTTGCCAACATCCTTTTTACAAATCATTATCGAAACTACTTGAAGGCAAAGAAATTTACGTTAATTCTATTCATCCAGGTATAATATAAAAAAAGAAATTTCTCATTATAAAAGACAATTGTAAATAAAATTAAAAAAAAAATATCTTTTAGGGTTTGTTGAAACCAAATTATTAAGAGAACCAATCAGTAGTTATGGATTCATTACCAAAGTGCTCAGAACTGTTGCTTCTACTTTATTTGCATTATCACCTGATGATGAAGCTTTAACACAATTATATGCTACTACAAGACCCAAAATTGTTGAAAAAATTTATCATATCAACTATTAGAACCTAAAAAATTGGATGCAAGTTTCAATCTGAAATGATTACATAAAAAATTTGATACAAAAATAAGAAAACAAAATCAAAAAATTCTCCTTCTTATGGACACATGCTCTTTATAAAACCACCCACTTGACTAATATCATTATTTAATCTTTCTCTCTAAACATATTTTGAACTATTTAATAAAATTGATAAAAAAATCTATAGCAGCTCAAGATGAGAAACAAGCCAAAAAATTGTGAAAATATAAACATTGGCAAAAGTAATAGCACTCAGTTTTTTAATAATTTATGCGCAATTTTATAATAAAAAATCAAAAAAAAATTTTATTTTTTGAAAGACTGACCAAAATTATATATATTTTATTAATTA